ATGTTAGCATTTTTTTTTTCAAAGACATCTTGAAACTCCTTATACTGCTTAGAAATAGCTACTAGTAAGTTTGTTTCTTTAGGAGCTAGAGTTGTATAAATAACAAATGGCATCTCTTTCTTAGACATCTTCATAAAACGCCTTGCTTTCAAAAATAAAAGCTTTATTGTTGATGACTTTTTGATAAGTTTTGCTCAAAGAAATTCTATAGGAAATTTAATCTTATGACACCTTTAATCTACAAATGGATTATATCTTTTTAATCACAAAAGACCTAGAATGATAAGATTTGACAAAGTTTTAATAATATTAAATATTATTTTATTATTATAACCCTTAAATGATATTTCTAGTAATATGGTTTCATAAATAACATTGCTTGAAGATAAAAGTTAACCATCTATTACTTCTATATGTACAAGTTTTGACTTTTTTAATAGAAGAATTTTATGAAGTTTAAAAAATTCTTTATCTAAAAAGCAAACAGATGCTTGTGAACTTATTAAGACATTTGTTTGAAGTTTTTGTGGACCAAGAAATAAATGTATAGTAAAATAACAAGCAAGTTGGATAGAGAGAGAAGAACCTTGATGAATTTGAAGTATTAAATATCTAACTGCATGATGTCTATTGTGATTGAATTTCTTCATTTTTGTAAATAATTGTACTTTTAGTCTTAATTGTATGTTTTTTTTTTTAAATAATTCTTAAATTTGTAAACTTCTTCACCACAATATAAGAATAGGCCTTATTGAAATTGATGCTTGTTCTCTTTTATTATAAGAAATTTGAACCGTACTACAATAATTTGTATATCTTTAGCTCTAGAATGTGGAAGTGATATATTTATTGAAATAATAGAGTACAAATTTCTAATGTATTTTTTTGTCAAAGTCCACAAGCATTGAGCTTGGCGATGTTGAAATAATTAATCATCGTAGTTTACAACTTGATAAATAGTTTTATTGAATGTTTGAAGATCATATAATAATAATAATAATAATAATAATAATAATAGGTCTTTTATATCATTCCTAGTCCCCAATAGAATTGACTCAGAAAAGCTTATTCATCCCAATTGATGTCATAAGCAAATTACCTAAAATCACATGCATAAATTGATATAGAGCGTGATTTTTGATATAATGAGTGAATCTTTGTTTTTGCCCATCAGGTCTTGTCATGTTCTCTGAATGCCTTTGCAAATATTTTTAAGAAACCTTCAAAGTAAGACTTGTGCTATGAATAAGATTCCAACTAGACTAACTTACAATTATTTTTTTGGATAGCGCTTAAGCTGTAGAAAAGTTACCAATCAAATTTGATTAATGAATCTTTGGAACCTTAAGCATGTCCTATCAAAATTTTCTAATGGACTAATCTGAGATTCATTATGTTGTTGAATAGGTGAATTTTTTTTATTGAGGTATAAGTGCCATTGCCTCCTTGGATGTAAAAAGTAATTGCTAATATGCTCCAAGTCTTATATTATCTTAAAATCTTGCAAAAAATTCCTCAATTTTACTAATTCTATGAGCTAAAGCACTCAATGTGTTCATAATAACATCTAATTTAGACCTAAAAGACTCAACCATGCTAATATCTTCACTTTGAGCGATTTTGAAAATAAAAAGGGGGAATTTTTAAACAATATTAGTTTAAAAGATGATACTCTGCAATCTCTAAAGCACTTAGATGCCTTTAAGAAAAGAAGTAATCCACTCTTTATCAAGAAAGATTAAGCTCTAATATTGAAAAGAGAGTAGTCTCAACAAACTATCATGGATATATTATACAAGAGATCAAACAAGAAGTTGAACTAAAGAATTTTAATAAGAAAGCTAACAAGAACTTGATTAAATCAATTGAGTAGAAGATCAATACCAAGAGAGGTGAACTAGAGCTTCAAGAAATGTATTGTTAAAACTAAGGATCTCTTCAACCTTGATTCTAATATATATTAGATATTAGAAAGTTTTTCAAGAAGTTTCTATGTTGCTTGAAAATGAAGCAACCTTAAGAAGCTTCTCAAGAAATTTTTATGTTGCTTGAAGATGAAACAATCCTAGGAAGCTTCTTAGACAATTTTCTTAATTTTTTTAGAAATTTTTAAAATCTAATAAAATATTCTAAATTTTTTTTTTAAACCTTCTAAGAATCTTTTAAAAATCTTTTGAAATCTTCTAGAACCTAATAAAATATTCTAAGAATAAACCTAAAATCTTCTTGTTGAATGTCTGTAATAGCCTTTAATATAATATTATCAAAAATAGGAGCACATGATAAACTTTACCTTAATGTTTTTTATTCAAAAAAAAATTTAATTGTAGAAATTAATTACAAGATTGACAATAAAGGACTTCTTGCAATTGTAAATTTATTTCGAGAATGGTGCTATTATCCAAAAGATGCTTATAATCCAATCACTTTATATACTTATCATAAGAACCTCAAGTATTTTATGTCATCATATGTTTTAAATTATTGCCAAGCTCATTAGAGCATGTCTTTATCAAGATTTGAATTGAAGATTACTTAGTGGCCAAGAAAACAACAAGGTTTGTCAAATGCGCTTTCTAAATGTTCTTATCTTGCACCAAAAGAAAGAGATGCAACTTTTAATTATCAACAAATAATTCTTTTAAAATCAAAACAATTTTATCTTTAAGTAATGAAATCAACATTGATTGTTGATACAATTTTTTTTAACAAATTCAATCAAATATGTCCTCAAACGCTCTTATTCATGATATTAAGAATAATGTATCTAAAACTTATGGCACTTCAAAATTTGAGTTTAAAAAGAATCTACTCTATTTCAAAAGATGCTTATATATTATAGAAAGTGAAGGATATTTATGTGCTCTTAAAGCTCCTTTGATTTTCCATATGTAGAATATTTTGGATATAAGAAGACCTTAGAGTTAATATCAAGAACTTTTTAATAGTCTCAAATGTGGAAGGTAGTTAAAAACTTTGTATGATCATGAGATATTTGTTTAAGATAAAATAAAAATAAATAAATAAATAAATAAAAACTCCTTGTGATCGATTTTATGGACTTCTTTAGCTACTACCTATACTCAAAAAAACCATGATCTTTTGTTTCTATGAATATTATAATAGATCTTCCAATTTTTTTTTTTTAAAATATATTTATGATAGTAGATTGTTTTACTAAGATAAGACATTTTATATCATGTACAAAACCTATCATAGGTGAAGAAAAAGCTAAAATTTTCTTTGACAATATTTATTGTTATCATAGATTGCTAAGGGATATTATATTAGATAGAAGGACTCAATTTGTATTTAGGTTTTGGATTTAAGATATAAAATTTTGTAATTTATATTTTTGATAGTTAAAGATAATTTTTTGAAATTTTTAAGTATAGAATTATGAGTGTAGATTTTGATTAAGTTAAGCTATTATTTTATAATAAATTGAGGAAAATTAAGTTTTAGATTAAAATAAAATAGAATGTAACTTGAAGGGATTTAACATGCTTATAATCTATTAAGAACTTTGGAGGGTGAAATTTTAATATATGTATATGAAGTTTGGCTGAGAAATTTTGCAAAAAGTATATATATAAATAATATATTGAAAGAAAAAAAGAGTAAAAGAGAAAAATATAAATAATATAAATATAATATATATTTATATGCTCATTCTCAATAATTAATTTCTTCATCCATAAAATAATTCCAATAGATATGACACAATAATATGACATTCCAAGCATAAAGTGACATTTCCATGTGAAACTTTTAATATGACATGGCAATCCATCGGACACCTTTAAAGCCACATGGTAATCTATGTCATTACAGTTGAAGATGAATTATAATATAAATAATCAATCAATCAAGAAGGTTTCCTGTTCAATTTTACATTTTTGCTCATTACATGCATATGAACTTAATGTTGGCCAGGAATGGCAGTGAAAGTTGAACAAGGTGATAATCAATGCAGCAAAAGTTAGTATTAGACCAATTCCAAGATTGACCACTGGATTGGGAGTTGAAACAAGAGACAAGGAACAACATGAACAGAGATGGGGTACTTGGATTTGCAGAAGAAACAAGGTGCAACTAAAAACTAATTTGAGAAAAAAAAACCATTTGGAGAGGAAGTACAGAGAAGATAGAATGGGGCAAAGTGAACGAGGACCAAAACGGGAGAGCAGGTGGTGCAGACAAGACATTTCTTGCTGGAGAACCTCTTCACCTAGAAATTGTTTTTGCATTCTCTGTTGTCTTGTCAACTCAACTGAATACATAGATATACAAATGAGATTAAAGCAAATAATCTTTTTCGTCAAAATATGTTGGATGCTTTCATTCCACGTAGTTTTCTCTACACATGATCACCATTACATCAATCACGACATGATTTATGTCTCTTATCTGGTACAGAAATTAAAATTAGATATTACCGAGTTCAACTTATTTTGTTTTTCTCAGATTGAAGTTCAATCCTGGGAAGAGGTACTACGTAGTTCCAAGTTGCAGTTCACCATATCAGTCCAATTCTAGAACATAATTCTAAAGGATTCTCCTGTTCCACTAATAAGTTTCGAAGTAGGTATCCCAAATCAAAGAACTACAGAATAAGCAACTTGACAAACACTTGTGCGAATTTCACAGTATACAAATTTTATCTTTATCACATCAACGATGGAAAATCAATGAGTTGGTTCGGGTTGTACACAAAAGTGCTCTTCATCTCTACGTTGATATGCATTCAACACGAAAAGGTTCGTAGAAGTAGACGTCATACATTAGCAAGCACCATCTACTCATAACACAGGCAATGCAAATATTATGGAGAAACACACGCTATGAGGAGATAACGCAACCTTCCTACAGATCACCGCTTTAAAGTATCAAATCTTCTGATCAGGACAAGTGACAGCAACAGGATGATTAGACATTAGCAGCAAAACTAAAACAAAACAGTAAGAAAGACAATCCACGTTCGAGCCGGATGCAAAATATTCAGTAACCAACAAATAGTTTCGTAATAATCACAAAACTCCATAGTTTGCGGTACATCTTATCCGACGCCAGATCTACTATCCGCCAAGCTTTACTACACACCAAAGAATAGCCACTGGGATATGCTGCAACCATTAGCCTTGTAGGCTGTCCGCCAAGAATGACTGCAAACTCCAGAGATCTGCGAGTGCTTCTCGAATACTGTAAAACACGCCGCATTACAGCCACGGTAGTGCCCTTACAGACATCGAGGTTACGAATATCATTATCAGCACCACCGCATCTTAGACTCCCACAGGTCTAAAAACCGTGAATTTTTATCAGGTCCTTCTTCACAATCCCAGCCTGCGAGGACAAGATAAATCAATCAGTAAAAGTATCGAATAAAAAAGTGTTAAGAAAAATACTCAAATGGATCAAATCAATCGGGACACATAGTTAATTATATTCGAGTTCCTAAGCAGGATAAATATACCAATGACGGACACTGGAATCAAACACACAAAAGTGCTAACTGAAAGTATTCAAGCAGACGCTGGAGTTATTTGGACGTGAACCCCGTCTAATTCTCAAAAAGCAAGAGAACTTCTCCTCAAAAAGAGTCAAAATATAATTTATTCACTATCTCACTGGAGCACATCAGGTAGGTGACATATTCTTTACAGTTAAATACCAAACGTGCATGCTTCAAACCGTGACGCATTGCAAGGCAGTCATAAGTGACAAGTACCTGGACGAGAAAGTTGGAGACATTCTTCCGCTGGTCACCCTGCAGCTGAATGACCTGACCCAACTCTGGGTCCTGCACCACCACTCCGTTGCAGCAAAACTCTTTCTTCAAATCCTTCAAAATCTTGTTGTAGTTGAACTCCTTCTTCAGCCCTTGAACGGTTGTCAAGCTCTTTCGTCCATTCCGCTGCTGCACCCTAACATGCACATAACCGCTCCCTTTGGAACCTACCCCGCTGTCCTCAACATTCGCTTCCGCGAATGGATCTGCACATCAATTTCACAGCCAACCTACCATCAATATCAAAAGTATATCGAGCATTAATCAATAGAGGACACACAGAAGCTACACTTGTGTCGCAAAAGTCACTAATATACCGCTGGCCTAGACTAAACCGACATGGGGTCAATTGAAAAACGGCATGCACAACGATCGTAAGGGCATGGATCCAACAAATAGAACAAATCATAATATCCCGCATCTACGATTATTCTTTAATTTCATAATGAACGCTTACAAAAATCCGCTTACTCCATCACAAAACAAGGTTACAACATATCTAAAAATAAACTTCATAAATCACAGCAATCTCAAGCGACCCCAAGAAAGACAAACATCATTCCCTAAAACAAAAACCTCCCCATGCCACGCCGCGGCGCCATCATCACGAAGACGGCGATGCCACTACCGCAAAGAAAACATATTCAAACTACCAACAGACCCAAGGAGTGGAACATACCAAAAGAGGCCGGAATCTCCGTGTCCGATAACTCCAACATGAACCCCGACGTGGTTTCGGACCGCTTCTGCACAGGGTCTGCAATTGTGGCGAGCGTTGCGACCTCGGGCGTAACCCTGATTCCAAACCCGCCGCGAGAGTAACCGATCCCGAGAAACGCCGACCCAGAGCACGCTCGACACGGAAGCAGCAAAATGCAGTGTGCGTGATGGGAGCAGAAATAAGTGCAGAAGTCGAAATCGGCAACGGCAACAAGATTTGGAGGGCAGCGAAACGCGAGGGAGCAAGCACGCGAAACGAGACGAGCAGGCGACGGTGCACGAGACGGGCAACGATGGGCTAAGCGGGGGGCGCCGTCCTCATATCCACCCGATTTTGCTCGGGCTGGGCCGGGTTGAGTAGGCCGGGTCAGGAGTGGGCCCGTGGGTTCCCAGCAGCAGCGGTCCATGTTCCAGACGAAACCGTCGACCAGAGACAGGGCATGGCGTTGCTTGATACTCTGGACCGATTTTTCTTTTACGGGCTGCCCTTCATCAGGATATTTCAAATGTCTGCACTTGACCCTTGGATTCTGTCCACTTACAGTTTAATACTATATTAGTTTACCAGTTTGCTTTTAATATAATATTTTATTACCACCCCAGTGTGTGTGTGTGTTTACATGTATGTCTAGTTGTTTGGGTAGATACAACAATTTAATTACTTTTCTGAATTGTTTTAGTATTGGTCGACCATTCTGAACATGTACTTAGAAATGTAAGAAATTCCCAGTACAAGATTCGGGAATTTCTTAATTGTTACATGGTATGAAATATTTATAATAATTTAATAGGGAATTTACAGAGGGATAAAATTTTGATTTGAATATAAAAATAATGTTTTTGACAGCCTTCTATTCTTCTTCTTTTTATTTGTTTGTTTGTTTGTTTGTTTGTTTTGTTTTGCAATTAACTGTTGCAAATGTATTACTATTGAGTTTCAAAAATCTACTCAATATATCTGTGTGTGTATATATCTATATATACAAATGGATGCACTTGTAAAATTATGGAAGCGTGTATTTGCGCTTCTCTTAATTTCAGTAACGCAATAGTTGGAAAAGAGGCAGTTTTTGTTACAAATTCAAAGTAATAGTGTTCCATCCTTTGAATGCTACATCAATTGTGATAAAATTGGTGGAAATAAATAATTAAAAGCTAAATGAAAAGAAAAACCCTAAATAAGCTGATGCCCAGGACTTTAAAGCGGGCAGTTTTGAAGAAACAACAATGAATGCTCCAAAGGATGGGCCGCATTCGTATGAAACATTCATCGAATTTCAATAGGTTCGAGGTGTTGACTCAGCTAGATCTGGATTGGCTGGAATCAGGCGACGTTACTATAAAGGACTTCCCCATATGGAGCGATCATGCCACATGGCAAACCACCAACGGATAGATATTACTTACCGTCGACGAACCTTATTCATCCATGACGTTCATCACTTATGTTGATTTGGTAAAGTTCTTGTGGTCCCACGGCTTTGGGGCTTTTAGGCGTGCTACCCTTTAGCACCCACAAAAGCTAACAATATGTATAAAAGAAACTTCTCAAGTTGGTTGAAAAGCTTGGGATGTGCTTGCAAGTTGGATGCTAGTGTCCTTAGCAATTGGTAATGGAATAAAAACATTCTTAATTGTATCAACAGCATGCATGAAACAATGAAGGTGTTTTTATTCTTCCACATTTCCACCAATAATCAAAGTATTGTTAACAAAACAAAACATTCTTAAATATATTACAATTTCTAATAAAACTAGGCATGTTATTAATATTATTGTTAAAGAATTACAATATTTTTTTGATTCCTTATGAAGTCAAGAAATTGGAGACATCACATTTTTAGTATTAAATTAACTAAACTAGAACAAAAATATCTACATTGGTGATTCAAATTCCAACTTTAAGAAGTGTCTCCTTCTACAAGCAATAAAAGGTGCACGAATGACAAAGACTAAGCTAGTGATCTTACCAATTGATAGTTAATAATAATAAGAGATGGAACTTGTTTCATTCTACAAAGAAAGAATTTTATTTTTATTAAATATTTTTCATCATTCGAATTTTGATTATTGATGCAAATACTAAGGAATAGCAGTTTTTCTATTAGAAGTGATTCATTGCCATTTTAAGCATAAGAATTTTCTACTCAAATGCAGACCAAATGTATGTTGTTGCAAAAAAACTATTAGAAGTATGTTATTGAAAATATTTAATAAATTATATGAAAAGAATATCTTGAAAGTAAAGTAAATAATTAATTTATAGATTAATCAATATGAATTTTGTCACTTTATTAAGAATAAATTGATCATATTGATCTAATTCCAATTCAAGCTTATCACATAGAAAATCAAGTGAAGAATTACCATGTAATTATACTAGATATAGAGAATAGGCTATTAGCTCCAAATAAAATGCAAGAAATAATTGCATCCATGTGTGATATACACATGTATGTAAATCACTCTTATACAATTAGATGATAGTAGATACTAGAAAATATCATGTTTGCATCATTAACTTATCAATTTGACAATAGATAAAAAAATAGCTCAATAATAATGAAAATTTTGATTTCAATTTATCACATAACACCATTATTCAATTCTCATAGTATCGATCCCAACATTCATAACCCGTTTGACTTCAATATATACAAAAATATATCCAATAGATATCTATATATATACCATAATTATCTATAGATTTTATATATTATAATAATTTACTAAATCTTTGTACATGGAAGAAAAAAAAATACATAGTAGTTACAAGGATACTCTCTTAGACATAAATAATGTTAGAAGAGTCATTGCACTATGTAATTAAGAACTATATACCAACGTTCTATAGGACTTCTAATATGTGTCTTAACTTGCAAGACAAGTTCCTATATATATGTCACATGGTTAGCTTATACCACAAGCTATCAATATGTACAATACTTGGCTAACTTGTTGTCAAAGTGTTCAACTTAACAATCACCTATAGACATGTATAAAGATGAAATTGCATCTATGAAGCTTCTAGGATGTATTTCTACAAGCTATTATCAAATTAATTTATTTTTATTTGTTTCTACCTATTTATATTTTTTAGGTAATTATTGGAATAAATATATATATGTCTATGATACAAGTACTTAAAGTGTATGTTGTAGCTTCTAAAGTCTTTGTTAATAGACTATAAAAACATATTGATAAGAAATGATCCAAGATAAAACATACTTAGACAAGAAAGTTGGAGATATTCTTTTGATAGCTACTATATTGCTAAATGACCTAAATCAACTTTGGATTCTACACTACCACTTTGTTATAGCAAAATTCTTTCTTCAAATCATTCAAAATCTTATCATAATTAAATTCCCTTTCCAATCCTTAAATGATTGTTAAGCTCTTTTATTCATTCTATTGTTACACCTTGATATGTATACAACTACTCTTTTTGGAACCTATCATACTGTTTTCAATATTTGCTTCTCCAAATGGATCTACATACCAATTTGACAATAAGATCTTTCTTAACACAATTCTTTTGACAATAGCTTGATGTGGTCAAAAATTTTGGAAGAAGGACATGCAAGCAAGGCAACAATTTTTGTAATGCTAATTACTATAATTAAGATTGAAACATGTATGATTTGAAAATGATCTAAAATATTATACATAGTTATATAATTGATAACTTATTCACATCCAAGTTTGGCTATTTTTAAATTTAGCAAGAAAAAGAATAATAGGTATTTTAAAAATAAAGCTATATTATATAATTGGTTACACATTAGCCATAATTGTAAGCATCTTAAACCAAAAGATGATTATAAGTGCAAAATTAGACATCCTAAATCACTCAAGTACAAAAAAATGCACCAAAAGAGGTTGGAAGCTTCTTGTTTAGCAACTCCAATATGAAAATTGATGTGTTGAATTACTTAAGCCTCAAATCTATAATTTTGGAAAATTTTGCAACCTCCACAATAATCTTGATTAAAATTCAATCGATTGAGCAAATACACAAACAAACCAATTGAACAACAAGCAAAAGTACAAATATAGATAGCATAATGACTAAACAATAATAGGTGGATAATGATAGGAAACAACATATAGGCTAAAATATAAGGCAAAGAAAGAAAAAAAATGGCAAAAAGGTGCATTGGAAGATGTAAACAAAGATGTGATTACTTTGAAGGGATGATGGAAATGTGGGTCTAATAAGGAAGATGTGTTCTATAAAAAAGAAATTAAAGTACATCTTTGAAATGGAAGGTGGTCCAATAACCAAATGCATTTGGAGCCAAATGAAAGTTGGGCAAGAATTGGAGCTATACCAATAGATGCAATCTCCACAATACTTTGGCAACATTTTGATTCACGAAAAAAAAGCTTATTTCTTGAAGGTTATGGTAAAAGCAAAAAGATTGTCACTTCTACTCAATGGATATCCTAACTTCTGCCATACCATAATACAAGCAAAAAGTAAACTAACTCTCTTTCTCATACTTCTTTCGAAAGAAATCGAAACAATAACAAAATTCTTTTTATAAACCTAAATCAGCATTGTAAGACATATTAACATAACAACATCAACAAATCAAATGATTACTATAAAATTAGTTGCAATTCATCAAGGGTCTTGCTACTTATAGCTAAACCGACTACAAACCTACAATAGGTAAATGCATTTGAATATTGTTGCAAAAACCGGTTACAAAGCTACAATAATTCTGAAGATTGGTTGATAGCGAACACTCATCCGATAATTCCACGGGATATTACACGGAAGAGTCTGACTGGGATAGGACATGTGGGGCTTCATTTTTAAGTGCTAAATCGCAGCGCAGTTGGTGAGAGCGCCGTGGTGGGTGTGGAAAAAGAGAGCCTACAAGCTAGAGAGAAAGAGACTCAAGGGCTCAAATGACCCCAAAGGTTCCACTCAAACGAAACCCTCGAAGCATGTGGGCTCTCCGAGACTTCTTCCAACAAGCTAGCACGCCATCAAACCTCACGAAGCTTTCAGTCAGAGAGGATGCAAAATTAGGTGATGCCGTACCCCACAAAACGTGTGAAAAAATTCCTGACAATCCATGGGAGAGCACACCACCCCCCCCCCCTCCCCTTCCACCTCTCATAGATGAACTCCATCTTTACCGCGGGCCGTGCTTAGAATGCTTCGTTTCACTCTGACATATTCGTTTTTTTCTTCTGTTTCACAAGAATATTTGATCATTGAATAGGGTTCAAGGCAAAACAGGATAACAATTCGTCCTCTGGACGGGAAGTTTTAGAATGAACATAGGCTTTTGTCCCCATTGTTTGTCTTGTAAAACCATGGATTCAGAAACCGCCCCAAAACGTCGGGATTGGTGAGGAGAAGACTCTAGAATCAGAATGAGAGAAAGTGCACCCTATTTTTGAGAAGTAATGAGAGATCGCAGCATTTCTCATCGATCCAAGTATGCATGGGGAGCCACGAGTTGCCTGACGACCACGGCTGGGGAACAAACTCCCCCAGCGAGCAGAATGAGAGAGGCAGGACGGCCTGTGTGTTTGTTTTTCCCCATGACTCAGCAAAAGCCAGGGCGTGGTGGTACTTCCACAAGGCCCCAGCTCCACAAGCCAGGAATCAGTCCTGCACCAATCACTGCTTCCTGCTGCTTGACGCCGTCCGCCCAGCACCTGTTCTTCAAGGTTCCAGCACCAGAAGCATTTTGCACAATGGGAGAACGATAGAGGATTCCATACAACTGACAATGATTACCTTGTTAGTGATGGGTACACCGGAGGAGAATTATGAGCCTCATTCAATCGCTTCTGTCGCCATATCTAGCTTACGCCAATAGGGAAATTGGTCATGAGCTTGATGGCGACGGGAGTTCACACAATACCGATGTTGCAGATTCTCAAGGAGAGTAGCCCGACAAAGAAGCTAGAAGAACTGTTGTCCAAACAAACGCCGCCCCGGAACCTGCCACCGTTTCTTTGGTTTGTTTGCTGAATTTTGTTTTTACAAATAAATGGATAATAATTGGCCTTTGATTTTCTATTTGGCAGGAGAAGTAGAGGAGGCAGAGTACAACTGTATGAGATTCCTCTCTTTCTGAATTTACGGTGGCTAGCACGCCGAATAACTTAGCGGTTGATTTCCATGGATCCTGCCAATTAGGACATTATCACGACAAATAACATAATTTATTGAGAGCCTTGAAGACATTCTAGACGCATTCAGTGAAACGAGCTTAGCATGAACAGTTGCGTTGGACGAGATTATTACACCTATATTTCTAAGAAAAATAATAATAAACAACATGAAAATCTTCAGGTATGAACTGATTCATGGCCAGTTCATGCATGGGAGGTTGTTGTTTCATCTTAAATTTCTTGACAGAGAAGGATCTGGTGCTTCAGAATTAGGGCTTGGCGTATTCGACGCAGCAGCAGCTGTTGCGCTATCCACACAATTCATCTGCTCTTGCTATAATTTAAGGCACGAGCAGGGTAAAGAGGCTGTAGAGTTTATTACATTCCTGCAGCCTCCAGGTAAATGTTTGGTGCACATTGTTTTTGTGTCAGCAATGAAGGGCTGGAAGAGATGGTTCTCACAAGCTTACATCTCGCCCTTTTCGGACTTAGATCCGACGCAAACAAGCCTTTGAAACGAGCTTTGAGGAGAGCACTTGGATCGTGGTCATTTGTTGTGGGCTGGAAAGAGCCACCGTCTCTACCTTGTTCCTGTATTCGTGATGCCGAAAGGCCTCGGTTTATGCCTTGAATCGACCAGGTAGTTAGAGACAGTAAAGTCCGTAACAGTCTTGGCATGCGTAGTTAAGTGGGGAAATCGAGAATTGGCGACAATGCGCAAGGAGAACTTTGAACACTTCACACAAATGAGTGCTGTGGGTTTTATATTTTTGCATTTAAGGATGGTGATTTATTGTAGGAATTTCCCCCACGTGGAAGATCGCAAACCTTTAGTATGGCTGAAGGCAGAAGAGTTCAATCAAGACTCATCTTGTGCGCATTTCAGTGGGTGGACGTACACGAACAGATTCTCACATCTCCACTATGGTCATTCCTCGGTGGAAAGTAAAACTATCAAAAGTTTTTTCAACTAGTTTTTTAAACTACTCACGTTGTTGCCTTCTGAGTTTGATTGAGAGGGAACGCTGTGGACACAATCTGCAAACATGTTCCATACAACAAACGCCAATAAGCTTCAAAAGTAAGAGCAAAGGACGGTACGAAGTCACGACAGTCTAACGAGGGACTCACTGCTCATTGGATCAACGCAATAAAGCACCGATCGGTACTATGAAAAAGGAAGACAAGTGACAGTATCTTGTACACATTATGATCTGTGCATCATGCTGCCAATCTGTCTTACTTGACAAATGTCGTACATGTCGTTGAAGCACGTCACAGCGACTCCATAAACCTGTAACCAGCAACCACCCTGCCGAAGAATTGAAGCATTTAATTGTTGTAGATGGAAGGGATTACGAAACGTTGGCTCCCGCTTGGAAGCAAGTGCTTTTATTACCCTTCGAGGAAAACTGTCCATAGCTGTCTGGAAGTTGAGGAGTTTGTTTTGAATTTTGCATGGTCTTCATTACCCTGAGCAAGAGGATCTTTAATGTTGGGGCCCAGGCTATTACGGTAACCGCCCATGAGGTTGCCCGATTGAGACGAACGTGCTCAACTTGATGGAGGCGGACACGTTGGAGATTCGGTGCTCCTGTGTGGCCCCCGCCGTCGTCTCGAAGGTTTCCACGCGCGTGGATGAGCTCGAAGATTTGATGGCGAAGGACGAGAAATATCTTGTGTGGTGCCACCAATTTGTAGAGAGGGACATTTCGTGCTCCTGTGTGAACATCTTGAAGGTCGATGTGAAGGCCTTCCCATCCACCTGGATAAGTTGAAAGACTTGCTGGTGATGGATGAGAAGTGGCTAGATTTTCTTATTAAGGCGCTTGGGAATGCTACGAAATTGGTGGCAGGGAAGGACGACACACTTCAAGTCGTGACCTCCTCCGAGAAGGATGAAAAGAAGCCGGTTGAGCAGAAGAGGAAGGGAGCGAGAGAGTGAGCCATTGACGAAAGGTGGGCGCAAACCGACCTTGCAGGGCTCGAAGGATTCTCTTGGTTCGGAATTGGAGTAAAAATCGAAGCGTATGACATTCAGGCACTCGAATCCCGCGACTACCTTTCGCATCCTCATCCTCTCGGCATTCTGTTCCCTACGCAAATTGGCTCCTACTGGTAAACTACAAGCCGCCTCACCTTGTTGTCTCATTTCACTGGATTACGCGAAGCTTTTTATGCGCACTACTGCGAATTCTCGCAATCTGAAACTTGAAGTAGGAGAGAACACGAGTTATTATTTCTGCGTGAAATTTAAGGATTTACATCACACGAGTGCCACAAAGCTGCGAATTTGTTGTACAGTATACCCTGGATATATGTTACACCGATAAGTGTTAAAATCGCATGTGTGGAGGAAATTGCACTACCTAAAAAAAAAACAAAAAACAAAAAATACTCTAGTAAGTGCTCTCCTTTTCAATGAATCCACCTTGCTAAGTATTAATTTGGATGAAAGTGATCCTATGAAATTTTATAATTTGGATGAAATTTAATTAGGTCTATTATGTACAGATCATGTTGTAGTCGGCATTTACAGTATTGTATTTAACTCACAATATCTTCATACATCACACATTTCACATTATAAAGACATTATTAGCTACAACTCTATCAACCACTTTAGGATTCAAACTATATTCTCTCTTGCATCAACTTCTTTGTATTTTAGTGTTGTGCCATTTGAGGATTTAGTAATGTTATGGTGTTGTAACAAATTTTTAATTAGATAATTTAGAAAGGCTCAAAGTTTATGTCTACACTGAAAAAAGATTCTGAATTTACTTTAATAATAAAAAAAGAAATCCACCAATATCATTAGAAGTTGGTGTTTGGTAGATAAAATATTACGGATAGGACTTTGGCTATTTGAGATAATTTTTTTTATTATGCCCTAATATTGTCATGTTCTAGTTTGACTACTATATGAAAATAATGCACATAAATATTTAATGTATAATTTATTATACAATGTGATAAGAGCCACATTATTAGATTTTAATTAATCACAAAATATGGTTAGATTACTACTTTGAAGTAATTAGTTCAAAAAGATTATTATTAAAGTTGATTTTAAGTTGCTAATAGTTTATATATTTAGAGCCACCTTTATTAGATATTGGATGAATGGAGATGGAGGATGAAAATTTCTATTCTTATTGGCCAAAATTCATGTCTAATGGACTTCAAGGATGCTATCTGAGGCCTTATTAGGAATTAGGGTTACTCTTTTGAAGTTATTTGAACTTAGGAGATTAGGATCAAAAAGTGTAGGATTTTGGCAATGATTTTGGTACAAATTTTGGATGATTTGGAGTTTTTATGAAAGAGATATAGGCACTCAAAGTTAAAGTATTGATTTTGTACCTACTGTCACTCTTTTGGGCATAACATGCGCGTACAAAATAGAATAAAGAATCAAAAACTAGAAATAGGGAGAACCTTTTTGTACTATACTTTTCATGTACTACTTGATGAAGGAATTAAAGGAAGTTGAAGTTAGTACTTACAATCTAAAGGCAATAAGTGACGTGATTTACTAGTAGTTGTGTTTCGAACTATATCTTGAGCAATTTAATAAGATTTTAACTAAACATTTTTAAAAATGTATATTATAATGTTACTAAATTTTATACAAAAATTTTATGGCATTTGAAGTTTGGATTTTTGAAATATGAAGAAAATAGTATTTGGGTGCTTGTAAATTAGGATTTAAAGCACCTATTGTCATGGACATACTCATAATTACATATACAAATAGGTAGAAGTAAGTAAAAGTAGATAAACGTAAGTTAATTCTATAGTATTTGATATGGAAGCTTCCTAGAAGCTTCATAGATACTGCTTTGACTTCATAGGTGTCTTTAATTGACTTTTTGGATTAGAAACGTGGTCAACAAGTTGGCCATGTGCCACACATGTTGTTAGCTTGAAGACCAAGCTAACTATGTAGCCCACATGTAGAAAAACTTGCCTTGTAAGTCAAGACATGTGTTCTACAAAGTCAACACATATTGGAGGTCTTATAGAACGTCGCCATAAAGACCCTAGTTAGATAGTATATATAGAGACAAGAGTGAAGCCTTCTTCACTCTTGTCAACTCCTTTCTTGCTTCTAGTCTAGTTTCAAGGGTCTTTAGTTTTCTTTTGGCAATAGCCATTCCAGTTTCTCTTTCAATATACATACTTGTTTATTTATATTTTGTTATCTTTTTTTGAGTGAAGGCTCACTTGTCTGAATTGCTTTTTCATCGAGTTCTTATCCTTGACAGATTGACAAGAGTACACCTACAATATCAGAGCTTTGTCTAATCTTCATTAAGAGTGGATTACCTTTTTTTTCTTGATAAGATATAAGCATATTAGAAGTTATGGATTACCCTCTTTTAAACTGATATTGTCCTTAGTATTTTCTTTGTTCTCAAGTCCTCTCTTCTATTTGTCTTAAGCGATATTAGACATCTTTTCTTTTCTAAGTATTATCATGGCAAAACTTGTTGAAATGAAGAGTGCAATGGCACAAATGCAAGAGCAATTGAGGGAGTTAATGCTTGCGATGCATTAACTCAATTTACAACAACAAGGAGCAACAAGATTGGCAGGAAGTGAAGATATAGAAATGGTTGGAGCTACTTCAACATCTGCACCAAATCTTATGCTTTTTCTTATGGTAGAACGTCCTTCCAATATTAGAGAACCAAGAATTGTCTTATCTGAGAAGTTTGATGGCACTAGATCCAAGTTTCAAGGATTTATCAATCAAGTGTAACTTGTGATTGAACTTCAACCTCAAAGCTATCCAACTCTTGGATCGCAAGTTAGATTCATTAATACGCTTCTTTCAGGTTCAGGACTATCGTGGTTTTCATCTTTTCTTGAATGACGAGATCCAATATTGGATAATCTAAAGGCTTTTTGGCGGAGTTTTGATCCATGTATGGAGAACATAATGCAATTCGTGTTGCAATCAATAAGATCCGTATTTTATAACAAGGCAATCAATCAGTAACGTTGTATGCTTCACAATTTTGACAACTTGCAACTGATATCAAGTGGGATGATGCTGCACTTGTTAGTCAATTTTTCTACAGATTACAATATGAAGTAAAAGAAATTAATGCTCAACTTACTTAATCATCATACATTGAGTCAAGCAATTGACTTTGCTGTGAAGTGCAATAATCGTCTTTTTGAATTTCGATCTGAGAACCGTACAAGTGCACATCAACGTTACTATAATTCAATGGCAACACCAATACCTCTTCAACACATACATTCAGAAGTAGAGGATATGCAAATTGATGCAATACGTTTCAAATCTCTTACTGAGCAAGAAAAGACTCGTCGTCGTCAAGAAGGATTATGTTTATATTGTGGAGAACCAAAACACACTGCTCAACATTGTCCAAAGAAATGACGCAACTACAAAATGAGGAGTATGGCTATCAAAGAAGACAATATGTCGAAAAATGAGTTTGTCCAGCTATAATAGGGACCGTGTAACTGGAACCTTGCACAACATCTAGTATAGGTTTTATTCTCTCCTTAGAGCCCTCTCCTTGTTTTACATTAAATGTTATTTTAGGACCTAAACATTACAAAGCCTCTGCCTTGTTAGATTCAAGAAACTCAACGTGTTTTTTAGATGAAGAATTTACTAAAAGACATAACATATCTTTAGTAAAGAAAACTAAACTTCTTCATGTAGAGGTCATAGATGGTCGTCCATTGTCTTTTGGAGATATTACTCATGAAATCCTTCCTATAGAAGTAATAATCAATGATCATAATAGCTTTGTATTGTTTAATATCATTAGATCTTTCTTTAATCCAGTCATTTTAGGTTTATCGTAGTTAGAAAAATACAACCCTCAAATAGATTGGATTTCTCGAATTCTCACTTTCTCTAAAATTATAACTAACAATGTAGTTAATCAAGTAGAGAGTCATAAGTTCAGTTCAATTAAACTCGTGTTTATAGGTACAAAAGCTTTCTTGCATGCTGCTAGGAAAGAATCACCATATATTATTTATGCCACACTCGTTTCTAATGATGCAAAGACTTCACGTGGCATTCTAAGCTAATATCAAGAATTTCAAGATGTATTTGAAAAAAAGAATGTGGATACACTCTCGAAACATCGTCTCTATGATTATTCAATTGACCTTCAAAAAGGAGCATAACCGCAATTCGGACCAATCTATAGTTTATCACAAAATGAGTTGACTGAATTCAAGGAGTATATTGAAGAAAAACTAGTAAAGAATTTCATACGCCATTCTAAATCTCCGACAAGAGCTCCAATTCTATTTGTGAAGAAAAAAGATGGATCATTGTGGATGTGTGTTGATTATCGAGGACTCAACAAGATTACCATCAAAAATAGGTATCTACTACCTTTAATATCTGGACTTCTTGATCAGCTGAATCAAGCTAAGATCTATATAAAAATAGATCTCCGGGGAGCATACAATCTAGTACGCATCAAAGAAGGAGATGAATGGAAGACTGCATTTCGAACTAGGTATGGACATTTTGAATACGTCATGCCTTTTGAACTTACAAATGCACCACTAACTTTTCAACATTTAATGAGTGATGTTTTTTGATAATTTTTGGACGATTTTGTAGTCTGTTATCTAGATGACATCTTGATCTATTCTAAGAATCGAGAAGAACATGAACTTCATATTCGTCATGTGTTACAAAAATTAAGAGATGTGGGACTCTATGCCAAGATAGAAAAGTGTGTATTCCACACTACTCAAGTCGATTTCTTAGATTACATCATTTCAAATGATGGACTTATGATGGATCCTAAGAAAGTTCAAACTATTATAGATTGAAAGATCCCAAAAATGGTAAAAGATGTCTAATGCTTTTTGGGATTTGCCAACTACTATCAGATCTTC